CTTTTCAGTCGGTGTACATCCCTCTTGCCAGCCTTTCTTATGTCTCAGCAACCCAGCAATGCATTTGGCTCTGTTGGAAGTATGGCGGATTCGTCCACCATCGAACCTCCTACTAACAGTGTGCATGAGTCCACCGGAGGATCGTCATTGACCTCAATCCCTCTACAATCTGGAGGATCAAAAACCAATATGAACTTCTTGATCACAACCCATAAACTGAAAGGCACTTTCTCCAATGGTCTCAAGCGGTGTCTTTGTTCATATAAGAACATGAGAAGTTCGGTCACCTCACAGATGCGATTTGTGAGATTCCAAAGTCTGACCTGACAGATAGAGCTTGGGAATGAAGAATTTCATGGTCATGTCGTGACTGATCAACTTCATGGAGACTTTGATTGGTTGTTCATATATGTTCCTATCTTCAGCTAGTACCCTCTGGACAGTTGTCTGTGATACCTACTCGGATGTAGGAAATTTCTGCCAACTCTATGAGGTATCGAAGAAAATCCAAGAGGCAAAACAGAAGTTAAGGACCATGACCCAATACTATAATGACCTTGTTGCACTGTGGATGGAATGCAACATGTACTACGACTACATTAGGGATTCTCCGGCCGACCTACCCTTTTTCCATAAGATTGTAGAAAATGATTGTATATTCTTGGTTGGGCTTAACAAAGACCTTGACGAAGTTCAAGGGTGAATTCTTGGTCGAGATCATCTTCCTTCTGCTCTCGCCACTTTCACAGAGATTTGTCGAGAAGAAAGTCATAGACTTGTCATACTCGACACTTCTACTCCTTCAGTCAAATCGTCTACCTTGATCTCAAATAATGCTCAGAGCAAGTCAATGCTATCTCGAATTGGTCACCTCACTTTTGAATACTATCACAAACCCAACCACACCCGAGAAAAGTGTTGGGAACTTCACAGTAAGCCAGCTTACAAACCTTCGGCCAAATCCTCTGCTACCAAGCGACCGACGACGATGGTCGAGCCGACCACGACTCAACTGACTCCTACCCAGAACATCTCGGAATCCTATGAATCACTAAAAAACCAGATAAAGCAATTGATCAAGCTTTTTAGAGCCAATCAAGTCTCTACGGGTTCATCGACCTCCCACGTTCGACAAAATACTCTCTTTATCACTCTCATGGTTTATTCCTCCTCTGGTATGTGGATTATTGATTCAGGTGTCACGGATCACATAACTGGATGCTTGCAACTTACTATCGATGCCCTAAAAAAGATACAGTAAAAATTGTCGATGACTCCTGTAATTTCATTGTTGGTAAAGGGTTAATTGTATTAATAACTGATCTAACTCTGGAGTCTGTTTTACATATTCCCCAGTTGCAATGTAACTTATTATCTGTTAGCAAGTTGACGAAAGAATTTGATTGTGTTACTAATTTCTCTTATGATAGTTGTGTTTTTCAAGATCGTCATCGGAGAGGATGATTAAAACTACTAAGAGGGTGGTCAGACTCTACTACTTCCAAGAGAAGAACACTTATCTTGGGTCATTAAATGTCCCACATTATATTTTGTTACAATGTAGTTTAGATCATCCTAGTTTCCAATATTTTAAAAAGTTGTATCATTTGATGTTTTCTAATAAAAATTCTCTCAATTTCAATTGTGAAAAATGTCAGATAGCCAAACATCATCGGGTCCATCACCAACCCCACACATATCTTCCACTCCTTTCTCTCGCATTCACAGTAACCTATGAGGACCCTCTTGCAAGGGATTCCTGACTTTGATTGATGACTACACTCAGATGATGTGAATCTACATTTTAAAAGACAAATAAGATGTTGATGTCACGATCCAAAACTTCTACATATTTGTTTTAACACAATTCAAAACTCGTATTCAGGTCCTTCGAACCAACAATGATCGTGAGTTTTTCAACTGCATTTTTGGTGAATTTTTTGTAAGGGCATCCTACACCATAGCTCATGTATAAGGGTGTAAACGAGCCGAACTAGAGCGAGCCCATACAACTCGTTAAAATTATGTTTTGTTCGTGTTAGGCTCGTGTTTGAAATTGTTTATGAATTATTTGTCGTGTTCAACTCAATTCAAACTCATTTGTTCGAATTAAACTCGTGTTCAGCTCGAATATCAGCTCAAACTAAAATTTCAAAAAATAATTTTTATTTTATTTAAAATATTTTCAATTGACTTGAAAATAAAAAAAAAATATTTTGCTTCACAAAAAATCACAAAATAGTGCTCAAGTGAAGTTGAAAACTTAAAGTTCTCACTTTTTTTTTGCTTTTACAGAGGATCCATGATGGAGCTTTTCTAAATCGGGTGATGGGGACAAAAGTCACAAAACCAAATAGAGAGAAGCCGAGGCGGGCCATGCGAGTAGACTTTAAGGGCATTCAGAAATTCTTTTGTATTTACATCTTTAACCTCAACAGCCAAGCTCTAGGATTTTTGGAAAATGGGGCAATTACATACATACCACCAAATTCTTTTGTATTTACATCTTTAACCTCAGCAGCCAAGCCATAGAATTTTTTGAAAATGGGGCATTTTCATACATACCACCCGATTCTTATGTATTTACATATCTTACAGCTAAATTTTATTTCTTTAAAAATCTAATGGGTATTTACATACATAACCACCTAATTCTTATATATTTACATATCTAATATCTGATTTTTCCTTTTTAACTTTTTATGAACAAAATTTTTTATATCATTTGATTAACTTTTATATAGTATTTATTCATTATTTAATTAATTGAAGCCAAAATAAGTCGAACACGATCAAACAAAAGTTTGTTCATTTTTGGCTAAACAAACTCAAAAAATTTGTTTGATGAATTCAAATCCAAGTTGAACATGACTGACATTTATGTTTCAATTGAATGAGAGTATTAAATTTATAACGACAATCAAATCCCTAGCCTTTATTATTTATTATTTCTTTCATATTAGCTTTTATTCTCTCATTATGTATTTCCTATTTGTTTTATTTTGTTTTATTTCTTGCCTTTATTGTGTCTATTATAATTGGGTTTAAATACCCCTCTTTCTATCAATAAAATTAAGCTACTCTAGTCATAAATTCAACAGATAAGTGTGTGTTTGTGTGTGTGTGCGCGTGAGTTTTACCAAAAAACATACATACTAGTTAGTCAATTATGATTATACTTATAAATCCATTTATGTACAGTAAAAAAGCTACATATTTTAATCAATAGAATCTAATATATAATTAGTTATGCAAGGCAAAAAACTAATTATGGCTCAAACTTGATAAGAAATTAATAAATAAATTTAATAAGATTTCAAAACTTGGACGCGATAAAAAAAAATGGAAGAGCCTATAAAAGGTAATACTCGACTCAACACCATTCATTTACCAAGAAGACCATCAAATGCTCGAATTGGCAATAGAACTTGAGGCAAATAATAACTAAAACTAATTCATTTAGGTTTCCATTTAAGATAAAGTGTGAGGGCTTAGTGGAGAGCACTCCTTTGGAGGGGAAAGGCTATGTCTTATTCAACTATAATGAAATTTTAATCCTTAATTAATTGTGAGAATTGAAAAGTTTAAAGAGAGATTATCGTCTTATGTAGCTGTAAGGCATGCTTATCTCGTAACATAAACTGTTACATTTTTTGTATTACATTTTAAGTTTTAATTTCATGATCATATGGCATCAATATGTTTGCATAATGGGAATTGGTGCGAAAGGAAATGAGAAGGAGGTTGAAAAGCTAAACAAGTGGCTATAAAATCATAATGAACCTATATTCCATTGGGATTTCATTTCATTTCCTTCACTTTAACCAATAGCAAACCTAAGTTTCTTCAAAGCTAAGAAATTAGCAAAGAACATATGGAGGACTTTCAAGGAGGGAAACAATATAACGAGTATGCTTTTGGATTATTCTTTAAATCTTTAGATATTTTTTATTCAATTTCCTCGAAACTATGGGGAATAATTTTTGTGACTGATATTAAGAATCAGAAGTTTATTTGCTTTCATAATATGAAAAGCCTCAATAAATGTTGGCCTTCAAAGATATAATTATGTATGAAAAAAATTTATGTACACAATAAATGGAGAAAATATTGAAAACATACACTTTCTAACTGAGGGTAAGGTTTTATGGAAAGAAAGAGATTGTTTGGTCGACAGCAAAAGAAGTTAATTGCATTCCTTTTGTAGAGGTTTTAGAAGTTCAAAGATTTGATCGAGAGAAAAAAAAATTCAAGGTAAAATTCTAATGTTTTTTTTTTTATTTCACTCTATAATTTATTTTCAATCTAAGCATTATAATTTATTTTCAATAATTTTATGTAAGGTGACACCGCTACCTTCCGCTGTCGTCCGCCACCAAAGCCGGTTGTTATCGCCAAAGGTCGGCATCCCCCACCACCGCTAGCCACTAGCGCCAACCATCTACCGCCACCCACCTATCTCCATTAATCGGCAATCGGTGGCGGCCACGGAAGCCAAACACCCATCTCCGACACGGACCTTAACGGGTTTATTTTACATAAAATTCGTTTTCTCTTTAAATTAAACAAGGAAATGCAAAGAATTATATTTACTTTACACAGAACCAAATAACTCTAATGTATTACAAATACAATACATTTTTTTAACACTGCCTTCCTTTTGCACTGCATTCCTTATTCAACAACCCCCAAAGCAAGTTTTGAAGTCCTTCACACACTCGAAGTCCCTACAGTTATTATTTACATAAACAAGCCACTTATACATGAAATTCTAAGTGATATGGATATTATAGTCAACACTTCAACTCTATACTTTACAAAATATTTGACTCAACTGCTGCTGGGCTTTAATCAAAACATTGTCTTTAGAAATAAAGACAAACAGTGATATCAAATTCGAACACTACCATTACAGAAGAAATGTGAAATTATGGCACAAAGAGTAGCACGATTTTTTATGTAGCATAGCATATTGTTAATGAAGAAAAAATATAAAGAACCTTGTAATCTTGCTGGCGTATGTCAGAAGCATAAACTAATCGAAGCTTAAACATCTGCAGCCTATAGGGTTGATCACTTGCTGTACGAACAGGTACTGAAAAAAAAAACATTTGCAAATTGTATAGTTCAACTTCCTAGCTGAAATAATTTAACCTGAGCTTAAGTATTTAAATGAGAAAGGACCTCACCATCTATTTTGTTGAAAACAGTGAATGGAAGCAACATCTCAACAAAATTTAAACCATTTTTTCTGCACGCATCTTCAGCAAGAGGAGTTGAAAGCACCATTACAACAGGAGTTATTTCTTCTAGCAGCACTCGCCCAAGCAAGGATCTCATCGGATCCATCATAATATAATTGCCCAAAGCTGATTTTGCAAAGATTTAGTGGCACTGCGTAACCTGACAACAACAACAACAACAACAAAAACTGTAAATGCAGTTAAGGAAAAAAAATTACAACATAAGGGGGAAAACAATGCGAAAGGGGAAAAACAAAGTTTCGGATAAATGAACATATATTTTCAGTCTTAACAGAAAAAAAAAACATTTTATATGAATTCATGAAAAACTAGACTACATGGAATTTCTAGGTTTCATAGCAAGCTAACATCAATAAAGATTTTCTCTTCAAAGTTAACCTTCATACATTTACTCTGCTACAAGAAAAAAATTCAAAACCAGCTGATTTTTCAATGATGTGAATCAATTATCTGTAGTTGATAATACATTTTTATTAGAAATCGCATGAGATAATCAATCTTAAAATGCTTGTTTGCTTCCCTGCAAAGAAAAAGCAGCAAATCGCCACTTTGCACCATGAATTGAAGAATGTATCAATAATTTGGTTTGATAAAATGCAAATATGCCAAGTTTTGTTATTAATAAACACCAAAAAGTTGTTTGGCATACTTTCCACATACTTCTAACATGTTGCAGTCAGTCAAAAAGACATAAAGATAAATAGAAAAGGCATCTGTGAGTACATAAAAATACTACAAAAGATACTCAATTAGATGCATCCATATAGGAGGATAAAAAAAGAGAAATATAAAGGTAGTCTCTTAACCCTATACCATAAGCAAAAGGATTCAATATTTTGCTCCCTACAATAATAATTACAAAGCAATTGACACTAGAGCTTACAGCTCAAAATTTCCGCGGCACTGTAGTTGCTACTATACCGAGGGAATAACTATTTCAGGTGAGACGCAGAAATAACCTCATTTTTCTTTCTTATTCTTTCTTTCTTATTATATTTCATTCTCTTTTAGTCTTTCTTATATATGTGTTGTATTGGGGTTTGAAAGTTAGTTTTCTAGTGTGTTTTGTTTAGGATAGCCACCGACGTCCGGTTTCTCCCTTTGAGGGTTGTATCCGAGGGGGTAGTGCTCCGGTTGTATCCCTTCCTCAAGGTGATGTTTATGTTTCTATCCCCTCAACGTCCCTCCCGCTTTGTTGCCTCGAATTCCCCCTAGTTGCAGGTCACCCCAACAGTAGTTCTTTTGTTGTTTTTCTGCAGTTTCCTTGTTGCCCAATTCATTTCATCGTTGCCTTTGCCCAAAACCGCCTTCCTTTAGCTGTCCGGCAGCCCGCCACATCCCTCGTCGTCGTTCCAGCCCTACATCCTCGTTGTTATTGCCTCCAGCCTGCTACCAACCTTGTTGGCATCCTCCAAGCAGCCCACACAGCCCTCCCCATCAACTGCCTCCCTCTTCCCAACCTTCCTCGCAGCCTCTCCCACTAAATGGCAAGTCGCAACCAGCTTCCGAACGCGTCCTCGTTGCAACCGCCACAACTTCCACACTTCCCCCTTGTTGTCATCAACCCAGACAGCCCTCACCCATGTCCTCCGGTAATCTACATGTTGTCTGATCCTAAGGAAATAGTTGTCTTGTTATTTTTTGCTTGCCAACAAACATTTTCACCCCCATGCCACCTTCTCAACCCTCACCGACCACCACTACCACCTGGGTTCCATCCTCATTGAGTACTTGTGTTTTGTCAGTTGCTATTTTCTATTTCAATTTCTCTGATTGTAACTTCAATTTACTTTTGAGTAATAATATTTATTTTTCCTATTATGATTTCCGTTTAACTCCGGTATCATTTGATATTGTAGATAACATGACCCTTGTCTTATTCTAGGGTTTCTAGCATTTGCCACACCCAAAAATATCTCCACAATTTTTTTTCTTTCTCGTCTTACATCACCCTTACATGCCTCTTTTCAAGTACCCAAACCCAAAACCTAGCCATGCCACCAAGGAGATAATCACCAAAGTTAGATTGAGGGAAAATGACATGATGAAGTTTAAGAGAAATTCGTAAAGAGAAGCCCATTTGATTTCTAAGGAAATATGCAATAGGAAACCCGCCAACTACAAACCGAGACTTACCACTTTCAAGAGAAGGCAATATGGACGGGTCACTCGTAGCTACAACGGTGACTTTCCAGATAGAAGGAATGGAGAGAAACTCTTCCATCACGTGGATTCCAATGATGAATTGCCTCGAATATCTGACCTAAAATATCTGATAAGTTAGAATTTTGAATTACATATGAATTTACCTTATTTCGACAGCCGCAAGGATCCAAAGAAGGTCATCGAGTGGCTCTAGACTTTGGAATGAGTTTAAGAGTGTCAAAACGTCCCACCGGACATAGTGGTGAAACTAGTTGCCAACCAACTGAAGAATATTGCATTATTTTGGTGACAAAATCTGAAGTACTTACACCGACAAGATGAAACATATAAGATCAGCACCTGATCCAAGATTAAATGGGGGATACAACATTAATTTCTAACTACTCGGTACAGACCAGATGTTTAGACCCCGGCTTCAAAAGTAGAGAGACCACATCACCGAGCAACCACCACAACTTATAAGCAGTGTTCAACACCAGGATCTTACAGTCAGAGTACACTCAGGATAACATCCAAGTTGATCCCGCCTGAAGTGACACTAGTTCAAAGGGGAAAACAGAGGGTACTAAACAACATGTCAAAATACATCCCCGTCAGAAAGTGCTTCAAGTACCCTAGACTTGGGCATACCAAATTAGATTGCACAACCATAAAATTGATCTCTTTCACGTATCAGGAAGCAGTTGAAGAGACAAGCATTGATCCGGGAGAAGATGAAGATTTCAGTGAGGCTTCTCAACTTATAGCTGACAAGGAAGAGACGCCAACGATTCGATTTGACCTAGGAAATAGACTCCAATTGAGTTGATAGTAACCATTCTAGAAGATAGCGAGTCTGACGTAAAAGGCATTCATTATAAGTATGATATTGTGGTGCCTCGAGCTACCGTTTTGCAGAGCATGACTGATATTGGATATCCAAAAGGAACACGAGTTTGAGGAGACAATATCAAACACAGAGCAACCCGTATAAGAAAAATGCAGATTTTTCAAATATATAAGTTACTTCCTGAGTTATCCCTTCTAAAAAAGATCTATCATGTCATCAACGAGGCCCATTTGTGCCATGTCTAGAAGATTATAAGGAGTCGTTTGGATATTAGATTCAATTCAGCGATGTACCCTTCGTCAGATGTCCAAACATGAGGCAAGAACAACAGCTTTGAAAATTATCTTTGGAGCTTTATTTGTAAGAAAATTATCCAATATGATTCAGGCCCTTCTTATAAGGAGAAAAGACCTCTCTTGAATGGGTTTACTTCATTGTGGTCCAGTCTGTCATAGATTTCATCCCTGAGTTGATTCCTCCTCATACTTGTTTATTAGATCACTCGGATGAGTGGGAAGAATGGAAAAAATAAATTACAGATTTAATGACTCGAGGCTTGATTCGTGAGGATACCCAACCAGCAGTTTCAATTATGATTGCAAATGACTCGAGGCTTGATTCGTGAGGATACCCAACCACGTACAGTTTCAATTATGATTGCATCAAAATAGGATGGATACATATTCTATCAAAATGTGCTTTGGAATGTCAACACTAAAAGAATTGACTTACCAGGAGATTATAAAATTTTTGCCACCTTCAATGTGGTTGATCAGATGTCATACAATGAGGAGACAGAAACTTCAATGGATGAGGTCGAAACACCCCCCAACCCCAAGAGATTGATGTGAGAGCTTACCGCTCAAAATTTCTACAGTACTGTAGCTGTTATAGTACCGAGAGAATAGTTATTGTAGGAGGTGTCAAAATAACAATATTTTCCTTCTTATGTTTTCTTTTCTATTATCATTCATTCCATTTTAGTCATTTCCTAAATGTGTCATATTGAGGTTTGGAAGTTAGTTTTCTGGAGTGTTTCGTTTAGGACAGCCACCGGTGTTCGTTTTGTCCCTTTCAGGGTTGTATCTGAGGGTTTGGGTGGTGCTTCGGTTGTATCCCTCTCCTGAGGTGGCGTTTATCTTCCCTATCCCCTCTGCATCCCTCCTCGTTTACTGTCTCGCATTACCCCTTACTGCAGGTCGCTCTGACAACAATTCTTTTGTTATTTTTCCATAGTTTCCTTGTTGTCCAGTCGTTTTCCTCACTGCCCTTGCCCAGGACCGCCTTCGTTTATTTGTTTGGCAGCCTACCACATCCCCTGTCGCCGTCCCAGACCTCCATCCTCGTTGTTATCACATCCAGCCTGCTACCAACATTGTTGTCAGATTCACAGCAGCCCGCGTAGCCCTCCCATCGACTGCTGCCCCCTTCCCAGCATTCCCCGCAGCCTCCCCCACTGGTTGGCCAGTCGTCGGCCAGTTTCCGGTCATGCCCTCACCCTTGCTACCATCAACCCCTAGACAACCCTCACGCATCATCCTCCAGTTGTCTACTTGTTGTCTGATCCCGGGAAAACCTTGTTTTTTGCTTGCCAACCATTTTTTTCCACCCCCACGCCACATTCCTAACCCTCACCAACCACCATTACCACCAGGGATTCACCCTCATTGAGTGTTTGTGTCATGTCGGCTGTTATTTTCTATTTCAATATCTCATCTAACAACCCCTATTTACTTTTGAGTAATAATATTTATTTTTCCTATTGTGATTTGGGTTTAAACTTCGGCATCAAAAAAGCTATGAAAGGAAATTTTGTCCTTCTTGTAGGAATTGGTACAGAGAACTAAGGTTTGGAGGTTGCTCAATAGAGAGGAAGAGAAGCCAAGAATCTTTATGTCTTGAGAATGGAAATGGCACAAAAATGACCAATCAACATCTTATTAAGGTTGGAGAAAAGACTATGGAATTCACATCATTATGCAACAAACTCTCGGGTATCATGACCAAGATACTTTCACAGAACATGGATGAAAAACCATTAGTTATGATACACCCAACAAACTAAATAAAGATTAAGAGCTAGCAGTGCATCACAAGATGGATATTCCATCTCATGGAGAGGACATCAAATCTTAAAGTTGTGACTAAAAGCAGTAGCGACTGCCTAGCTTGATAAAATCCGTGGGTAGAAAATTGTGAATAAGATATGCAATCCACAGTAAAAGGAATGTTTTACTCTAAAAACTTACTAAAAAGAGGATTAAATAATTTTTTGATAACATGTTCATATGTATTGATTCATTTCATAACATCAGGTAACGATAGTCATGCAGTCACATGAACATTAGCATTAGTAAACAGCGAGCAAAAAATTCTAAATGATTTTGTTATACATATGGACAGAAGGAAAAACAAAATGTAAAAGTTTGATCAGCAAACTACACAACAATGATGATATCTGCACATACTTCTATCAGATTATAGGCTATGGGAAAAACTCAACAACAACAATAAAGCCTTAATTCCACTACGTGGGGTAGTTTTAGTGTCATATTTCCATTGCGTCCTATGGAAAATACTCAGTAGGAAAAAAAAAAAGCCTGATGTTATGAATGAAGGAAAACATCCATGTGGACAAAGTGTTATTTTTCAATTTTATACCTTTTATTAGCAGCAACCTGCATATGCTTTTAATGAAAGAAACATAATCAGCATCCTTCAAAAAGTAATTACAGATTTAATTCACTTCCCAAATCGAAAATGACATCTGGCTCAAAAATTATTATGAATCTATTGCACTTAAAAGAGAAAATATAAAAACAAAACATCAGCATCAATTCTAAAAACATGACAGAAGCACACTCACAAATCTCATCCTTCAAAAAAAAAGAAACATCCTACAATATATGCTTCTCCAAACTAAAATTTTGTGCAAAACATGAATTTAATCCTCTCAAACTACATAACAAGCAAAACTGTTAAAATGCTTAGAGTGCCAGATTCTTGAAACAAACATGGTGTTTTTTCCGTGATATTGGCTCCAATCTCCTTCAGTGCGGAATGGAGCAACTTCATGTCCTCATAACTATTTAATCAGACTAGGATCTCACCCATGTTTATAAAGAACATACCTCATAGCAACAAAAACTAAAGAGAAACAGCCTATTTATACTCGCATAAAAATATAAATGTTTTTCAAGAGAATAATGCTTTATCGTTTGGACAGTTCCATTCGATCAAAACGGCATGGATATGATCCGATACAGTGATGAGAGATTATTCTCCTCGGAGGTTATTCGGCCTGTCTGAATTTAAACAAATAGCACATCCGTTCCAAAAATACAGTTCAGCTAAACTCATAAAAACTAAAAATAAGAAAAAAAATCTAGCAATGAGAAATAAAACAACCAGTTAATGATTGCCATATATACCACAAAAATGAATAGAAGGGTGTCAGAAAAAAATCATGATGCACTTAAGGTAAATGTAAATCAGAAAGGTAACAAATGCATTCTGCAAATTACCAAGGACAAATTCTCTGAGACGGCGTCAATCGCTATGAAAGAGGAAAAGAAAAAGGGGGCAGAGAATTTGACGCCTTAGTTCACCACCACCGTACTCTTCCGTAAGCGAAACGAAAATAGTTCAAAAGAAGCTTGGACATCTATTAATCTTTTGATCTCCTCCACCGAGAGGAAATCAAAGCATTGATCTTCCACCTGGGCAGAGAAGTCTTCTCCGTCACTACAATCGCTGCGGTCGGAAGTTTGAACGAGAGCAATGAATGATTAAATGCCAAAATGTTGCTCGAAGGCGATGGAACCCTAGAGGACTGAAACCAAATATCGACGGTGGTTGTAGCGTCCCCGGCGACGAGGAGTGTGCGCTAAGACAAGCAAAGATTGGAAAATACGGCTTTGAGATCTGGCCACATCGACTGCTCGGAAGCAGAAAAATTTGCGCTAAGACGAGCAAAGGCGTACACACAGTTTATTGGGGTTTATATTCTGAGTTATATATTGTAATCCCTGTTTAAACTACATATATCTTTTAGTGAGTTTACTTTTATTTTCATATATTTATATGTTATAAGTAGTTTATAGGTAGGTTACATGTAAGTTACATGTATGTTATAAAGAAATTACAGGGATATAATGCGGTTATAACCTCTTAATACCCTCTGAATAATTTCCTTGATGTACATAATCTTACGTAGGCAAATTTTTCTCCCCTGTATGTTATAAAGAAATTACAGGGATATAATGCGGATATAACCCCTTAATACCCTCTGAATAACTTCCTTGATGTACATAATCTTACGTAGACAAATTTTTCTCCCTCAGAAAAAGCCTTAACTATATTATAAATTTATTGCACTTACAAATATAAATATTAAATTTTGGGTGTTAGATATCTAAATCAATAGAAATTGAATGGAATGTTACGAATGTAAATATAATCCAGTGAGAAAATTTGAAAAAGTATGTCGACTATTTATTATTTAGAAAAATTGCACTCAATTTTTTTTTAAAGTTTAAATACTATTTTTTTAATATACTGCTATTTATGATACATTTGGAGTTGTCCCAATTATTTATAAAAATAGTTGTAAGGTTATTATTTATTTTTTAAATTCTATTGTGGGTGCATAAATATTTATTTTTTTTAAAATATCAAGTAGTAGTTTTTTTTTGTACTATCACTCTATAGCAAATATAGTTATACAAAGCATTCTACTAAAAAAATTTTTATAATGCAACAAGAAAGTCATAACCAAATGGAAATGTGGTGGTGTTCTAAATAGCTAAGCAATAAAAAAGTTGTTCTAAATAGACACTAAATAATTGATAAGAACCTTTGATAAATAGTAACACAATATTTAGATCATAGGAACTCTCCTACCCTTATTTATTTAAGCACATTCTTTATTTCTAATGAACATATTTGTAGTGTGAGAGTATTTCCATAGTGATGGCCTCTTTTCATTCATCTTTTGTGAAAGTTGGTGATATTATTTATTTGGTTTATTTAAGATTAAATATGATGTTCACTCTTTATACATCTTTGACCTAACATATTGATAAATATACCATAAATCCATAACATTGATAAATATACCATAAACTTAAAGCAACTTTAGATATTAATTTACTTGTTAAGAACTTAATTGGAATATGATCAGATAATGATTGAATCATCTTCAAATTATCTTTGGATGATGATCAAGCATAAATTGATCATTATCACAAATAATTTAAAGATGATTGATCATTGTTCAAACAATGATAAAAATAATCAAATAATGATTAAAAATTATCAAGAAATGATGGAATAATAATTAAACATGGATTTTAATTTATTATTCAAATATGATTTTGTCAATTTAATCTTAATTAAGAAATAATTTGAAGATAATTCAATCATTATTTGAATATAAGCATTGTTCGATTTTTAATCAAAAAATCTTCGAATATGGATTGATCATAATTGAAAAAAATTCAAAGATGTTTAATTGGTATTCAAAGATTATTAAATCGTATTTGAACATGCTATGAGAATATTTGATCTTTGTTTAATCATGATTCAATTATCATTGAAATTTTATTTGATCATTATCTAAAGTCAATTCAAAATTTATGTAAAAGAAAAATTTATCATTATTCTAGCTTGCTTTGATGAGATTGTTGTTCAATTCTTATTTGATCATCTTTTAATCATGATTTGAAGATGATTTGATATTAATTCGATCATAATTTAAAGATTATTCGAAGAAGTCTTGAAGTAAGTTTGATTATGGTGAGAAGATGATTTAAAGATGTTTTGATCTTTTTTTGAATATTGTATTAGCGCTCATTCACTTTCTTATAGTTGACTTAGTCTAATTATGTACATAAATATCTAATTTAAACATAGAAATTAACTTGCATTATAGAGCTTGACTTACATACAAGGTTGAGTGTAATGAAGAAATTGTTTAGGCAATTTGAGCTAATAATTTCATTAACCAAGCTAATAGATCCCCTTCTAGTCAATGCATTCGAGCTTTTAAAATTAAAGTATTTGGTGTTAAAGTTGCTCAATTATGATCTCATTGTCTTCCATATTAGAGGGAAGAACAAAATATTTGAAATTATTGAGTTAACTTTAGTCATTGGGCTATGTTTTAGGAACCTTTCATCTCATAAAGTGTTGAAGAAGATAAGAAAAAGTGGTGAATGATAATAACTTAAAAAATACAGACTTGGAGAGAGCTTTCCTAGACTACACTAAGAGATATGATGTACAAAATCTTGGGTTATACTTTATTTATAAATAGTGTCCTCCTAAAAAATGGCAAATAAAATATTATTTTCAGAAAAAAATTTAATATGATTGAAGATAAATATGTTTTTAAAATTAATTATAAGGTAGTTTGGTATGAGAAAATTTATTGAGGGGAGTCAAGAGAGATATGGTGCACTACATGGCCACAACCTTGAATAAAAAAATCCCAATCTAACATAGTGTGATTATATGTATAATATCATTGCAATACTAGGCTTATAATTTCATCCCAATGTTGGGAAGGAGTTGTGTTGAGTTTCTTGGTGAAATAATATTACAGATTATTGAGCTGAAAAAGAAAAAATTTCCTGGAATTGCATTGAGTAAAGACATAAATATGTTTTCTTATTTAGGTATTACTTTGTGGATATTATAATTAAATTCATAAGTCATTCTTGATCACTTATTATTTATTGATGAATATTCTTCCTACATTAGCATGCAAATTTATAAGGACTCTTATGAGTCTATTATACCTACTCCTACTTAGCTTACACTAATTAGAGCTATAGAAAGGAAAGCAAGCACCCCCATAGCCTAGGAGAGAAGAAGGGAGGAAATAGAAGCATAGTTAGCTATAAATCAACTCATTTCACCATAAGAAAGGCTAAAATATTTTTTTGTCATACTATGTAAAAGTTGAGGAGTGATCAAATTAAGATGTAATAATGAAATATCATTAGAGAAAAAATTAAATGCTCTGACCACTTTTTTATAGAAACTTATACATTATGATAAGTAAGATAATATATAGGAGAGAAAGGTGGTACTTATTACTTGATGAAGCCTAAAAAGGGAATTGTAACTATGATAATGAATGCTAAGAATGACTTAATAATCATAAAGAAGATAATTGAGTTGCAATTTTGCATACATTATTTAAAGTTGAATTGTGCCCCAAAATTTGCCTTTTACAGATCAAATATTAGAAAGACTTATAGGGCACCCACATTACTATTATTTTAGATGGATATTCAAGAAATCACTAGATTCTTATTACTCCTGAGGATCAGGAGAAGACCACCTTTACCAATCCTTATCGTTCCTGCACCTTTAGGAGAATGTCTTTCGGTCTCTGTAATACACTTGTCACTTTTCAAAAATGTATAGTGTTTTTCCTTTTCTTATTTGATTGAACAGGGTATTAAAATCTTTTGTTAGTTGCCTCCAACACCAAGCCCATGTACTTAAGATATGTAAGGAATTTAGCTTAGCTTTAAGCCGAGAAACTTTTCAATTCATGATGGCCAAAGGTATCATTCTAAGACATAAAATTTCTGAGAGAGATTTGGAAGTTGCTAAAGCTAAAATTTGAGTAATAAAAAACCTACCTCCACAAACCACTATTTAAGAAGTTAGAAACTTTCTAGAACATAATGGATTCGATAGAATATTCATTAATGATTTCCATAAAATTACTAAAGCTCTATGACATTTGTTAGAGAAAGACACATTTTTAAATTTATTAAATAATGTTTAGAAGCTTTTCAAACTCTCAAGTCATTGTGTCTATAATTGTAATGCCTGATTGGACACATCATTTGAATTAATGTGTAGTGCTAGTGACTTTCCTGTGTCCAATATTGAGAACTGAACTTTGAATTCTTGAACACAAAATCATTGATCTTAATCGAGAGTCTTCTTAAGTGATTTTGGTCATTTAAGATGTAATTAAATGTAGGAGATTGCTTCTACATGAAACTAAGAACCCAAGTAAAATAAACCATATCTAATCTTTAATATTAGGTAGGGGAACTTCTGTCACACGTAAAAGTTTCGCAGACCAAACGAATGTCATAAATTATTTAATTTATATAATTGAACCCAATGTCAAGTAATATGCCCATCTCTTAAGATGGTGTATTACTTGTGATGTCGTGCTCGATTATTTAAACTATTAGATATATGGGATATGTTCGGTCTCATATTACTTTTAAAATCAAAATAATATTTTTCACAATCAAATATATATATATATATATAATTAATTAAATTAAACCATTTTCAAAATTCAACCAACAATTCCCGAAAGTTGATCGACAGTTGAGAGCTAGAGCAATGATATTTTCCAAATTTGAGATTTTTTCAACCAAAATTAATCTCTTTTTAACCACTCTCAATGTTTAAAATAATGGGCTATTTTAAGATTTATGGATGTGATATATTGAATATTTCTATAAAAAAAATCAAAACATTTCATCAGATTATTACAATTGATTTCTACTGATTATTTATTAATTTATAGACAATTCAATGCCTTAATAATTTAGAATTAAATAACGTTGGGCTCATCTAAATCTTATTGCTTAGACACTCAATTTAATTATGAATTCGCAAGAAATCCAAAAAAACTAATTTGATTTTTTATTCTTTAAAATTGTAGAAATTGCATCATAAGATTTTCCTTAGATAAATTTTCAAGTGGCATATCAAAGATGAAGTGAATATCTCTTTCCTTTTCAGTTTATAAGAATAGTTTAACACATTAAATTCTATGATCCATTCTTCATTAGATGAATTTCTATTGATATATCAAAGATGATGAAAATACCTAGTTCTAGTTCAATTTATAAGAAAATTTTAATGCAATAAATTTTATTTATGCAGTTTTAATTGTAAAAAATTTCTTATGTTGTTTTCAATAAATTTTATTTATGCAGTTTTAA